GTTCATATTGTTATCGAAACATGGGCTCTGTTATTAATGTGCTCTCTTGAGGTTATGGGTAAATAACCCTAAAGCATGTAGCATTAATCTCAGTCTTGAAAAGCATATTAAAGGACTAGTTCACCCCAAAGATGAAACTTTGTTGTCATTTACTCACCTTTAATCATGTCGAAATCGGTATGCCTTTCTCAGTGGAAGAGAAATTAAGTTTTGAAGCACGTAATGGTCAATCTAATAAAAGTGAAGTAACGTTAACGTTATGACCGGGTGCCGCAGTCGAATCGACTCGGGTCTCATGAACGCAGCACATTTCGGTCTTTCCTCACAAATAACCACCATAAAACTATGATAACTACGATTTCTTATGGTGTTTTTTTTAGCTTTATAGTAGGCCTACCACCTGTTAAAACATATTAGCTGGTTTTAGCTGGTTATTCCAGCTGGTCTCACAGCCTGACCAGCTAAAGAAGTGGTAAAAAAAACTTTAAAAAAAACTCTAAAACCAGCCTGCTGACCAGCTATGACAGCTTGGGCTGTTTAAAAAAAATAATAATTATATGTAACTTTTTTTTTAAATTGAAATGCAAAAATAATATCTGAAGCTGAGGTGTGATGTAGTGTTAAAGATGCCTTACCTTGCTTGTATTTAGGTGTTGTGTGCATGTTTTTTGAGCTCCCTTTATAGTGCAACAGTGCCAACGCAAAATTCTTTCATAGGCACTCAACAGGTGGTAAATCCCATGCTGTTAGCAGATTTGCTGAACTTTTTACACATAACGTGTTGGCAAATTTACATTTGTAATGTGTTGAAAAATTATTTAACAGTTCACAGTCCTGATAAAAGCAGGTTTTTCATAAGCAAAAAGCTTTTTTTTTCTCCATCCAGTTTAACATTCTGAAACAGATTCATGTCTTTACGCAAACCCCAGTGCTTCAGTTGACTAATTTTAACATCATTTTTAGAGCCATGATTTTTCTTACTGTATTTATTTGTGCTTTATTTAGGATCTTGATTTACAACAACTGGACAGCTGGAATTAATTAAAAAAATATATATTTTTTGCCCAGCTGCTGAAACTGATGTGCTTTAATACATGAAAATGTGTCTTTCATATATTTTTAGAAAAAAATAGACTGTTTGTCATATATAATTTACTTGGTCAGCATATGTATCTTTTTCTATTGCTGAGCTATGGACATTTGGGAAAGCACATGACAAACTGATATGGAACTGGTCCATCTCAAAGTCCAGTGTCTCCAGTATGGAGAAGAGTCTTGCTCAAGAAATGGACACAGAGTTCCTGTGCAGAAGCAGAGTCTTTCCATAAAACTTTTCTACTTTAAATACAACCGTGTCTGTATTTTAATACCTAAATACCTAATGCCCTAATCTAATAAGTACCTTTATGAAATTCATAAAAATATTTAAACCGTCTCGACACAAGACTGTAGGGAGTTGGTGCCCTCTTATGGTGCACTTTGTAAATAATCATAATTAATAAAGATAATGTCATTGAAGATAGAGCAACATTTTGCCTGTAATTCCAATAACATAATCGCACTGAATTAAGTTTGATATATTTATTGAATGACTTTTATTAGTATTGTACTGCGTTCAACTTTTCGTCAGTAAACAGACTAAAAGCATTTTGTATTAATATAGATTTTTCTACAGTAAAGGAAGATCAACTGAATCTTTCCAAAGCACATCAGAGTCCAAATTCGCTCACTTCATAGTGCACTCAGTTGCCATGTGCTATTAGTGAACGAGTGAGCAATTTCAGAGACAGCTTTAAGAGGTGATGTGTGCAATTTCTGCATCTTTAGCGCCACCAAACAGAATGAAACATGTTATGGCAAACATCTGATCCCAGCCCAAACTCATGCCATCGGTACTGATGTAGATTTGGAATGCTCTGCCCTTAGTGTCAGGAACCACTGCTTTATACCATACGGCTTGTACTTCTGTAAAATCTGCATATTGTGCACAGTATACATACATAATCTGTGTCTATAGGCCTACTGTGCACAATACGCAGATTTTCTGTATGCATGAAAACTGACGACCAGCTTATTGGCAAAATGTACAGAAAGAATACATACAGTACAAACTGTGGAATTCTGTATCCATCAACTGTATTCTTTAACCTTTTAAATCTAGTGTGACGATTGAACTGAAGTAATGGTTTAATACACTTGAATTAAATTTTCATTTCTAAAATGCTTGTTATTTCAATATTTGTGTGTATTAAATCATTATAACTGAACATGTGTTCTTTCTGACGGCCATGGCAGTGTTTGATCATCTTGGGCTGGCGTCTCAGCTGGACTTCACCAGTGCTGCTGTTCAGGTGTGTAGTTTACGAGCCAGTAACCTCCCTGGTGATGCTTTGGGAAACAAACCCGATCCATACATTAAGGTCTGGTGTGGCTCTACTTGTGGGGGCAGACAGAATATCACCAGGGTTAGGGTTGCAGAGTTCAACTTCCGTAACTGCAAAGCCAGTGAAAACCTGAAGCTGGAGGTGTGTGACAGAGATATGTATTCTGTGATCGCTTGGGAATGTGTGCCACAAAGGTGCAACAAGGCTCTCAGAGTGTTACATGTAGTCTGCACAGAGGAACCATGTATTACAACTACAGATTGAGTTGAAATAAATTTGTTCCAATCAATCAGCACTTTGTAAATCTGCTTTGAGGCAAATTCTCTTAGATCATCTTTTGCAGACTTACTGACTGTTCCAAACCGAATTTTTGCTGGATTCTATTAACCCGTTTAAAACTCTGATTAAAACCTTTGTTTAGAATAGCTTTTAGTGATTTGATTGCCTTTGTATTGATTGCATTTTATTGACTTTTGCTGTAAGGTGTCCTTGAGTGCTGTGAAAGGTATTAACGAGTTTGCTTGCCCATATAACCTTTAGGAAATTAGAAACCATAACATATGTGCTTCTGCTTCATTTTTATAATTATTTTAATAGAGCTTAAATATGTAGTCTGTAGGCTGTCGTGGAGAAACTGTGAAGTTGGGAATGGGATGAAGGTTTCTTTTTGTGAAGAGAGATCTATAACTTGGTGTTGTGAAAGTCTCTTCAGGGGACTGCATTTAATGTCTACCATTTTTTTTCATTAAAGAAAACAACAACAACAACAACAACACACAAATCTGTCTGTCTCTGTATCTGCATGTTATTGAATACAACTATACCAGTAATCAATGAGTTTAGTTTGACGAATGAACTGAAGTTGCACTGACCGCAATTCTTTGCATATTTTTCTTGGCACATTATTTGATCACGCCACTAAGGCTTACGAGAAATGAAAGGTGGCGCAAGTTCAGCGAATGTTCTCCAAAATGGCGCTACGGTGATGCGGAGAGACAAATTGTTAAATAAAGTCGTTATTTTTGTTTTCTTTGCGTACAAAAAGTATTCTTGTCTCTTCATAAAATTCAGATTGAACCACTGATGGCAGATGGACTATTCTGACGATGTCTTTCATACTTTTCTGGACCTTGACAGTGTAATTTACTTGGCAGTCAATGGGACAGTCACAAGCCTCCCGGTTTTCATCCAAATTATCTTAAATTGTGTTCCGAAGACGAACGAAGCTTTTACGGGTTTGGAACGACATGGGGGTGAGTGATTAATGACAACATTTTCATTTTGGGGTGGAGTATACCTTTAAGCGGTTGAGGTGTTTTGTTGTTGGATGTAAGAATGAACATAGCAGTCATCATCCACTCCCAACATCTGAGCCGCTTTGGACTTTTTTTTGTGTGATTATTTGCAAATCGCCTCTTTTCACAGAACAGAGCAGAGCTCATTAGCATTTAAAGAGACATGCACCGAAACGGGTTGCTGTGAACAAAGCGGTTTTTGACCAGGTAAAAAGGGTGTTGTTTTACACAACCACTGTGGAATTTTAATCAAAGTATGTTGCAGAAATTTCATGAAGACCCTAAAGAATCATACCAACTTGTGTAAAATGGGCATCCGATGTCCCTTTGATGTTTCTGTGTTGGCCTGTTTACATTGTTTAAGCTGCCAAGAGTGTATAAAATGCTATCCCCAGAAATCATAGAAGCAGTGCATTAAAATAATGTAATTATATCTTGGGAGACAACAAAAGCAGAAAACACTGGGGCATACAGTCCCAGTGTTTGAAAAAATAATAATGAAAAAAATTTGAGTTTTTAAAAATGTAGTTTAAAACACATACCAAATTCTTGGAAATTTTCTATTTATATGTTCATGTAGGTTTCCACCAGAAATGATTTTTTTTTTTAACCTTTATACCATTTTCAAGAAAAGTGTAAGATATTGACCCTAATGAATCATGCGGGGCAAAAATCTAAAAAATATTATTCTCAAAAATATTTTATACAAACTTTTAAGTTGAAACTTTTATAAAGAATGTACTGCAAATGTCTTTTCAAAAAAGTTTAAATGACTGGCTAATTTAGGATGACATTGCATGTTGGTTGGACCACATAATAAGCCTTTTTGAATATTACTAAGCAGTGAAGAAATTTTGTTGAAATAAGAAAAAAAAATGTTTACTTGGCTAATATGTGAAAAGCATGTCAAAAGGACGTGGAACTGCAATGTTCTCAATTGACTGATCTGACTCAGAATCCAAAATGTCACCAATATGAAGAACGGTCAGGACAGGGCATGTCACTCACCTTCAAACAGGATCACGGTCAGATAAAGATTTAGTACCACCACCCATTCAACGAACCTTTCAACCAAAACAACTCCTCATTCTCTTTCTACATTACATGCAGTTTGGCTAGTATGAATGCAAATAATTATTGGACATACAGTATATGACATATTTAAAGGTGGGCACAAATAACAGAGTGCAGTAGTAAAGACATAATAGAGTAACTGATATTAAATGCACTTAAATATTCAATTTAATCAACTCTATTGATCTGAACGGCATGATAACTAATCCAGCATCCATTGTGAATTGAGAAGCAGAGGCAAGCTTAATTTATTTAAATGACTTTTATTAAGTTTACAAATAGGGTAACAAATGCTGTTTTATTGGAGCGCAAAGCGCAGTTTTATATGAAGCTAGAACATCCTATACTTAGTGCAAAACATACAGTTAAACATTGCCGATGATTCCCTACATGTTTTTGTTTGGTTTTCATTTTAAGTAACTCTTTTAACATTTTGTACACTGTTAAATATCATACGGAGAAAAAAAAAACACTGAATGAAAGTCGCCAGAGGAACTCTAGAAACTCAAAAGACAGCAAAACAAGCGGATCAGATAGCAGTACAAAACAAAATAACTTAATGACAGGTCAGTAGCATTAAGTAAACATTGTTCTGTTGTATTTCTTTCCACAGGAGAGCGACTAGAAAGGAAGGTTTCATTCAATAAGATACTTTTTGAGTGAGTTTGTGTGCATTTTTTTTCTGTAACTACTCTCATGCAAAAAAAAAAAAATTTGTTTTTCATCAAACTGAATGTCTATCGATACTGAATGGCTCGTGCGCACATCAGCACGCTACAAACGCATTAAAAAAAAAAAAAAAGCAAACTGAACGATAAAGAAAAAAAAGTGTTTTTTTTTTACTACATTTTCCAAGGTGCTGTATCATTTACATCAGAGGTCAGAGGTAAATCTCATTTTGTTGTACATCCTGCACTGCAGTTACATTAGCGCCCTCTACAGTCAAACAGGGGGACCTGTTTCTTACAGCGAGAGCAAATTAACACTTGCATCATATCTGGAACAAGGGACATGGCACTCAGAAGGTAGTATTACACAGATTTCATTAGCCTGAACACTGAGCAGGTTGGACCTCTTTGTTAAAGACCTTCTGATGTGTTCACAGTTTGAACGAACCAAATGACAAAGTAGGTAAAAACGAGCTGTCTACAGGTAAAGCGTTGCGTACAAAGCAAGAGATAAAGGTAAAACGATCGCATTTTAAATATAGAGAGCCAGTTGAGAATCTAAACTGTACAGTTGACCTAAAGTGAAGTTCCTGTACCAGACGTTTCACACAGACGACACACTAAGCAGTATGTAACGAGTTGTAATCTACATCCTTTCAGTAGTTAATTTGATGAGCATCTCCACTATGCTTTTGTACCCCAAATCAAATGCTCTAAGAATCTGTACATTAGTTTCTGGTGGATCAGGACTGTTCTCGATTCATCTGCACAGCTTAATGTGCTGAGCATGACACTAAAAGTTAGGTTGACACTGCAGGTCTAGTATTTTGAATAAACCAAAGCATTTACAAGAGTGATTTGACTGACTGCTACAAAAAGAGAGTTGAGATCCCCCAAAATGAAGCTACTGATCTGCCACAAAACCAAAGGCCGTTGCCAGCACAGTGACTTGAGAACTTACATGGGCAGTGAGAGTTCAAAAGAAGCGGATTGATGAGAAACCAGCGAGAATTAGTCTTTGACAGTGCTGTTTTGGCAGAGAGTGCCGTTCTTGTGCCGGTGAAGGTTGCTAACTGTCTTTTCCCACCTTTCTGGTCCTTTTCTCGCTCATGAAGTTACACTTTCCATCGCATCTGTTGCCAAAACGTGTCTCTCTTCGCACACCGGAGAGGGTTTGACACTGGATGGTGTCAAAACCGATCAAGCAGTGCTAGAAAAACATCTAAGCTATTGGTGGTTTTGAAGTACTTACAACATACTGTCCCATGCATACTAACTTTCCTCGTCCTGCGTTTCTATCTGAGCCGATCCTTCACCTTCACAAGAACCGTTCACACCTTTTGAGAATCCGTCTGGAAAACAAAGACTGGTTGTCAATAGCATTTTAAATGACTCGTCTACGCTAGAAAGGGTGCACTGATGATAGGCATACTTACACACTAAGGTTGATTGATGAAGTATCTAAAACGCAACCCTCAAGCACTTCCACAGCCTTTGAATGTGATATAATGGCTGGATTGTGTGTTTGCACACCGTATATTCGAAGCTTTCGACTTTCCCAAAAGACTAGGACTGTGCCATCAAATGGTTTCAGTCGTAGCCAATTCAAAACGGCATCCAAACCAGCACCTCATTTCTGCAGTATATTAATGTTCACCCTCTGTGAAGTCCAAAGACCAGCAACTCCAACCAAGTGCAACGCTTGAGACTCTCCGCTGCCTTACATATCAAACCCCGACTTCAAAAAACTAAAATAACGCAAGGCACTAGAATCTTCAGAAAGCTCACTGGGCGTAGGGAAAGAGGGAAAGATTGGTTTCTTCAAGTACATTAATTGAATCCATTTTACATTCACATTGATCTAATAATATAAAGAAAGTACAAAGGGGAAAAAAGTTAAAGTGTCTCCAATAAGATGTGAATAATGAAATAGCTAGCCTTACATCTCACGAACGCTAATATCCAAACCCCTCCAAAATTTCATGTTTTTTTGTCTACTTTTTTTATCTAATGTTGTCCAACAACATTTGTAATAATCACAGTGTTTCAACATCAATAACTGATGAGTAAATACAGGTCCATACAGAACACGACTTATTTGAATGTCTCGATCAAACTATGGTAAGAGGCCCCTAATGCTGCCATGATCAGAAAAAGCTGATCATTAGCCATAGATTCAAAGCTTCACAGGTCTCGAAGGCGACAAATCCCGTGACCCCCAGTTTCGTATCCAAACCCCAATACAACTGATTTTATCCATCATTTTACACGTCACCTTGTGGTGTGGCCTGATGAGAAAACCGGAAGAGGACGGTAAGAGAGTGGATAAGCTGCAAAGCATGCTGGGATGCTTGTAGAAGCTTTGTAGTACAAACCTCGGGGGGCAGCTGAAAGGCCTCTGAACATGACAAAAAAAAATAACTGTCCATACCATTCTGCTACACAAGGCCGGCTTGAAGGGCATAGGGAAGAAAAACCAACTAACCAACCAAACCAAATGAATGAAATCAAAACCCTCATAACCCAATTTAAAAACAAAGGATATCTGTACATGGATTTTGTCATTTCATCTAATGAAGGCCACTTCCTGTGTTTTAAAATGGGCTTTTTTCTACCATTGTAATTATTGCATTATTCCATGGCATTGCAGCAGAGGGTTTAGGGCAAGAGGGGAACAAGGACACTAGGTTTGACTCTTCGCTGCTCACCGTCACCCACCCGACCTCCGTTTGTTGACATGCTTGATGTATGAATTTATCAGGAGGACATACAGATGGATGCCAGTGGCATCTATTCCATTTTAGGTCAGCAAATCTCAAACCCCTTGACAAATGTTTGGGGCTGGGTGGTGAAGGATGCCATCACTACACATCTTAACAATAAAAATGGTCACACCTTCTTTGGCCACGTAACATTGCACACAAGTGTCCATTGTTTTATTTTCATCTTCTCTTATTCTTTGCATCGTTGTGCATCATCCCCGTGGCATATCTGTGAGCATGCAGGAGGATTCCGGCATCTTCTTCCTCAACCATCCCAAAGGAAACTCTTGTGACAGAATCTCTGCAATGCAATCAAACACTTGCCCAATCCGTCCCCCTTCCTTCCCCCAATTCGAGAGTTATTTAGGCCTGGCACGGCTAGGCCCTGCCCTACGTGGTCTTCAGGTTGGGTCCACCCGGGTGGCTGACTGACTTTTGCAAAGTGCTGATGTGGAAGGTCTGTAAAGGGGTCGGAACCTGGGGATACTGTCCCAGGGGTTGTGAGGTGGCCAGCAGACCGGCCTGGGTGTGCGTGGCCGAACTAGCCCACTGGGCGCTGTAAGGTGCGGCGGGGTAGCCGTACTGCGGCGTGGGACACAAGGAGCCCTTCAGGGCCCCCAGAGAGGTAGCGGGAGTGTTGGGCATGGGCGGGTGGCTGCTGAGAGTTGAAGCGATGCTTGGGCACAGCTGGCCTGGAGCCGAGTACTTACGGCCCATATTGGTAGGAGGAACCATCTGAGAAGAGGAGAAAGGAAAAACATTTATTTAGAGCAGGGATTCTCCACTCTGGCCTTCGAGGTCCACTTTTCTGTAGAGCTTCTTTTTTTTTTTTTAGCTCCAACCTTGATCAAAATCTCCTGCATGTAATCTTCTATTAAACCTTGATTATCTTGTTCAGATGTGTTGGATTAGGATCGGAGCTAAACTCTGCAGGAAAGTGGACCTTGAAGGGCCTGAGAGTTGTGAACTCCTGATTTAGATGCTCTGTTTCAACTGTGATTTTCTCCAGAACAAAGTCTTACTTCGTAGCTGTGGCCCTGAGGAGTCACTTGTTGTTGGTGCTTGGAGCCTCTCTTGCCCTGCGACAGGGTCATAGCGTCCCTGGCCCAGTTGTCCACCAATTTGTGCAGCTCGTCTGTGAACATGCCCTTGCAGCTCTGGGACTGAGAGACGGGCGGCTGGTATTGATTCTGACCGTTTCCCGCCACCGTGTTGGTGCTGCTCGTCCCTGAGCGAAGAGAAAGAGAGGAAGAGAGAAGATGATCGTAAAAAGGAAGTCAGTTCAAAACACGTCACACTGAAACAGCTGATACAATCAGAAGCCACACAGACTATATTAATGTGTGTATATTTTCATATACAGTTTCTCACGTTAGATTACATACGCCTTATATAATCTGCAAAATGTTAGATTTTTTTATATTTAGTCCTGCCCTGGTTTGACCTGATTCTGATTTTTATTTTTTTTTATGTAAACAGATTTTACATGACATATGAGAATCAAAAGTATGATTATTTAAATTGTTATTGATATTAAAAGTATGATATTAAAATCAAATTTTAACCTGGAAATAAACAAAGGTTGAGTTAAATCAACAAAAGCTAATTAAAATAGATAAATAAATAGAGTTGCTGTCAGTAAAAGCAAGAGATTTAAAATACTCAGAGCAATATATTGAGAACTAAATGAACAATTATTCAATTTTAGCTGTTATTTTGACTTATGATTATAATAAAATATCTGTTATGCAGGATCTTCAGGACAATACTAAATAAAAAAAGCTTTTTTATTTTAATCTCCTCTATTTGAATAAATGCAAAGCATATCACAGATTATACAAAGGGTATGTAAACTTTAGAGCACAACTGTATAATATAATGATATGTGTATACATAAAAGTCATGGCAGTGAGGCCCTATCGAGCACCTGGGCATCTGCTCTGATGCTAAAGTGACGCTTTTATCACTCTGACTCCAGTCTGCAAAACAGGTCACGAAGACAGTATTAAAACACCATCTCTGGTGCGTCACATCTACCTGGGCATCATTATCATGCTTGCCATGGCTGTTTTTATTGCAACACATGAGGGAGCAAAAGGGTGGTGAAATGGAAATGGATTCACCATGAGCTCCAGTATTAGATTAAATGGCACTGCAATGTCTCAAAATTCATGGAGGCTAATAAAATGAAACTTTCAACAGCTACTATTTAGAAGTGTAATTAGATAGTTGATTAGTACCATTAGCTAAACTAGGACAAATCTTGATAGCACATTAATATTAGCAGGAAGTATGAGAAAATAAGCCTCTTTCTGAAACACAAAGCATTGCAGTAAGGATTATGTGGTACATTTTTATTTATTTATTTTTACAAAAAAGCTCTGTTTACTGAGCAGTTAATGTGAAGCAAGATTAAAAATTAGCAAAATGAGTGGAAATGCCTCAGCTCCTCTGTAAGACACATCACTGTCATGACTAAGAGATAACTTTCTTTAAACATGCACTGACATAAGCTCATATCTGACATATCTGTTGAGGAACAAAGAGCTGATGCATTTGAAAAATATACTGCAAGTCAAAAATAAAGCTGATGGGGGAAAAAGTTATTTTCTAAATCAAATCTTACACAGTTAAATACAAATGGCACAAATATCTTGCCAACTATCCAGGCAGCCACAGATAAGACCTGTTAGGATGGTGTAAACAGCCCCTCCAGAATGCAGCAACAAAAAAATTACACATTGTGCCAAGACTGAAGCACCAAAAGGAATTCTGGCCAATGTAGTCCAGAGTAAGCCATGCTTTGAAAGATAACTACTCCTTTTCCACCATGCTGGTACTGGTGGCCAATTTGGGATAATTTGCCAATTCTATACATTTCCATTGAAGGAAAAGTGGTTTATACATGTAGTGGTTTATAGATAGATAAAATTGATCAAAAGTGACAATTTAAATATTTATGTTACAAAAGATTTCTATTTCAAATGCTGTTCTATATATTTTTTTGCTTTATTTTAATTAAAATTAAGCAAACTCTTTCTCAGTTTTAAGGACTGTAATGCAAAAAGTCTCATTGTCAATATTATAATGTGTAAAAAAAAAACACATTTATACTATAGTGACTAAAGTATTTATGCATTATGGTAGAATTTGTCCTAAATTTATTTTTCATTTTATTAATTAAACGCTAATTTACATTTAATCATAAATGTAAAAACGTGTCCAGAAAGAATTATTCGATTTGTTTTTTTGTTTGTTTTTTAGAGAGAAATCCTTTTTTTTTTTGCATGGACACATTAAATTGATCAAAAGAGACAGTTTAAGATTTTTTACAGTATTTCAAGTAAATGCTGTTCTTTTGAACTTTCTATTTATCAAATAATCTCAAACTATTTTCAGTGTTTCACAAAAATATTAAGCAGCACAACTATTTTCAGTGTTTCACAAAAATATTAAGCAGAACAACTATTTTCAATAATAATTATTCTGAATTATTTATACTTCTGCAGCAAATCAACTTATTACAATGATTTGTGAAGGATCATGTGACACTGAAGACTGGAGTAATGATGCTGAAAATTCTGCTTTGATCACAGGAATAGAGAGAAATCCTTTTTTTTTTTGCATGGACACATTAAATTGATCAAAAGAGACAGTTTAAGATTTTTTACAGTATTTCAAGTAAATGCTGTTCTTTTGAACTTTCTATTTATCAAATAATCTCAAACTATTTTCAGTGTTTCACAAAAATATTAAGCAGAACAACTATTTTCAATAATAATTATTCTGAATTATTTATACTTCTGCAGCAAATCAACTTATTACAATGATTTGTGAAGGATCATGTGACACTGAAGACTGGAGTAATGATGCTGAAAATTCTGCTTTGATCACAGGAATAAAACAGATTTCAAAATATATTAAAACAGAAAAGTTATTTTAAATTGTAATAATGTTTCACAATAATACTGTATTTCTAATCAAATATATGCAGCCTGGGCGAGCATAAGATACTTCTTTTAATCATTAAATATTGTTTATGTTACAATATATATCATAAAATCGGAATATAGTTTTTAAAATTAAAATGTTTCACCAGCCAAGCACCAGCACCACCTGGTGGAAAAAGGGTAAGGGAGAGGTGGAGACTCCACACACAGCTTGACTTCAGCATTTACCGGATGACTTCCATTCACTTTGTTCAATACTGGAGGATCCCCAAATCCTCTCTGTGAAAACCTACCTTTCTGTGTGCAAAATGTGAGCTGTATTCCCTCAATACGTTGACTTGTGCATTGGACTCCATCCAAACAGGATGAGGTCGATGTGCAGTTAAGCGGGATGAGTCTTAAGGGGATAAAGGAAGAGTGCAGAAGGGAGTCTGGGGCTTCAAATTGGCTTGTGCATAATGGGATGAGTGCTCAGACGGGTCCATTTAGAGTGCATTAGTCAGTCTGCTGCTGAGTGTGGCGTTTATCTAGAGTGATTTCTGGTTCGGTTTCAAATTTAGGATAGTGTGTTTGTGTGAGTTTAATTTGAGAGTGAAAACATACGTGACGTGCCACACTTATAAACATATGAATGGGTCATCACCGGAAAGAATGCTCAAGTCAGCCTGAGAGCTTAGCGGGAAAACAAGCTTCAACAGGCCACAGGACATGAAGCGAGAGGTGACGACAGGAAAGAGAGGGAAGGAGGTGTGGGAGGATGTAAAAAAAGAGAGATAATTACTACAAAGTTGGTTGCAGGGGCACACTTTTTTCACCATCTTCCCTGAAGCATGGAGAGAACGGTGGGATTGGAGAGAATCAGTGTTACAGTAACGCCACGTCCAACAGAGTGCATTATGGGAGTGTGTCAGAACATGCTAGTCTAAAACCTGAATTCAAGCCCTGACGGCTGTTGATACTGAGTGAAGGCAGGGTGAGCGGGTTGTGACTATTGGGTCTGTGGCCAAAGCCAGTGATCATTTGTATTAACATTGTGAGGCAGCTAAAAAAGATGTGAGATGATGTGTGAAAGTACTGTACCTGCACTGAGGGACGTGAAATATTTTTTGATTTTAATAAAAGAAAGAAGGACTAAGGAAAAACTCATCAGATTTAAGACAGATGCAGTGACTTGCCAAGTTGGGAGAAATATTAGTCACTGTGTCAGCTGTTTTCAGTTCACTCCTTTCAAGAGATTTAATTGTAAAAATGTGTGTAAATTACTACATAAATAATATGAGTAAATGAGAATAGTAAGTTGCAGGATCACACTGCATGTGTCAGAAAAGGAACCGCCAATCAATACTGCAAAAACATTATATGATAATACTATATGGCTAACAATTTACAATAAAGTAACATTAGTATTTGCATTACAGTAGGCATCATGAACTAACAAACTAACAATCTTATTGTAAACTAAAACTATTAAAAATCTTAAAGTTTTGGTAATTGACAAAATAAAATATAAAACTTAAATATTAAAATATTAAACTTAAAAAACAAACAGAAATGTGAAATGTTGCCTTGGCAACTAACTGAAGATGAAGTAGTAAGATTACTTAAACTGAAAAAAGAGAAATTATATAATTATATATCACATTATATTATTATATATTATAACTATAAATTAAATAATAAATATAAAAAAATAAAAATAAAAATGACAACATACAATTATTAAAACAAATTAAAATGAAAACTAAAAAAATAATTAAAAGTATTAATACATATTTTAATAGTATATAAATATAAAATAACAATAAACTATTATACACAATTTATTAATCTAGGCTAATGTTAATTTATAAATGTACAACTCTACTACTCTTCAATGTTAATTCATGTTTTCTTCATAATATTTGAACTAATACTGATTTATACAACTTGAAATTATTGTTTTAGCATATGTAGAAATTCATATTTACCTATATTAATAAATGATGTTCATTATTAGTTCATGATACCTTTTTATTTTGAAGTGTTACCAGTATATGGACTCTGCACAATCAAATTATTAGCTATAATTACAATAATTGGTCAAAGTTGTTTATGGCATTCAGCCATAAAAAGATCTCATTGTTAAAGAGATGTGCATTTTCCTGCTTTCAATATAAATTGCTTGAACTGCTAAAATACAAGCCATATTGGTTTGGGACACTGTAAAATGCAGCATGTTATTCATATTTAAAATTATTAGTAATTATCTTTAGCAATTTTGACATTTTGTTATTATGTTAAACCAAACTGAAGCATATATGAGGGAAAATATTAAAACTAATAAGATGAATTACAAATGACAAAGTGTCAATTGTGAACACAGTTGAATTAGAAATAATTACCGGACCTCATAGGTTACACTAGTGCATTATGGGATACGAACGATATCCGTTATGAGTACAAGTTGTTTTTAAAATTCATGACACAATGTCTGAGATGATCAGCCATTTAGAAGGCTTGGCAGAATCAAGAACTAATCACATGCCATTGTAGGAAAGAGACAAAAGAAAAAGCGTTACACACAAAGAGCCAAGCAGGGCGTACTCAGAAAACGCGTCCTCCTGCCACCTGGTTTGAAGGTCACCCTCTCCGACCCACAGCTGAACTTTACACAGCCTGTGGTACAAAAAGAGGGAAAGAGAAAGAGAGAGATGGAACAGAGGAAGAGAGAGAGAGAGAGAGAGAGAGAAAGAAAGAGATGGAGTAGATAGCGCAGAGAGAGAGAGAGAGAGAGAAAGGAAACGTACACAAATACACAGTGAGAATGGTAACAGAGCTCAGTAAGCCATGAATTCCTGACAGATAGAGAGAGTGAAGGAGGTGAAGGAGGGGAGGAGTGGCCCTGGGTGGGTGAGCGTCGAGCTGTACGGAAAAGGAGGAGGAGGAAAAGGGCCCCTGGAAGCACAAGCATCAGCCCTGCAGCTTCATCCAAACCAAAGCGTGCATTTTCTCAGATAGGCAAAGCATATATTCCTGTGTTCAGAGTTGATTCACCTGCACTACCACAAATAGGGCCGATACGAACCACCACAAAAGCCATAAGAACATTAGAGAGGAAAATAACATTTGAATGACTGCTGGACAAAAGTTTCTTCCCACTGTGTCATCCTGAAGTTTTCTCCACAAAATTTCCAAGACTCAAAAGAAATCGATCACAGCTGGTTTATGTGACTAAAACATCCAAAAATGACAAAACCAAAGGTAAACTATGGCTACGTTCACACAGTTTTGTGGGATTGACAACTGCATTTACTTACTGGTGTGAGTCTCAAAATATCCCGTTCACACAGCAACTTAACAGTCTTGAATACTGTGTCTGTATGAACGTGCAACAGGAGTCAAGCCTGTATTCCTTATCAGTAACCATAGCGACAGTGACCAAAGTAATATCCAACATCATGGCGACGTCAGTTAAACTGAAAAGTCTGATCACTTTTTGACACGCCAAGAGTCCAATCGAGTTGTGAGTTCATCCGTCAAATCTTCATTAACTGACAACAGCTTTTATGTTTGGGTGGAGAGCGGAGCATTTGAGGCGCACAGAACAGAACTGACAGGATCTAAAACTCGACACACAGCTCACATCTCTGTAGACACGCATTTGTGCAGCAGAGCGACTCTCTCTCGCACTGTATGACGTGACAGACAACTAAATGTCCAGTCCGGTTCCGTTCACACAGAATGGTTTTCCGAGAACGAGGTTGTGAGTCCTGAAAATTTACGGGTGTGAACGTAACCGTATTAATGACTCAAATACAGGATTGACAACCGTACTCTGCTGCTGTGTGAACGTGGCCTATGTTATTTAGGAGTGGGCGATATACGGATTGAAATTAGTCATAAATACCATAATTTTTGGCATAAATTTGCAAAGGTGGTGGTGAAGTACCAACAGTTGTTCCTTATTTCAAAATCAAAGCAAATGCTTACCATTTTAAACTAAGAAGAGAGAAATCTAATTTATTTAAATAAATAAAAAAAACTTTATATAAATAAAGTTGGGATTTATTTAATACAAATAATTTTAGATTTTTTTGTATTTAATTTAAGATTGATTTTTATTTTTATAAATTAATTTCATTGTAACTACAACAAATGTATTTAAAGGGGTGGTTCACTGGGTTTTTTCTAGGCTTGATTGTGTTTATGGGGTGCAGTCTAACATGTGTTAATGCTTTGTTTTTCTAAAAACGCATTATTTTTCACATAATTTACCTTTATTCCACACCTCTCTGTCCCTTCTCTGAGAAAAGGGCTGATCATTTCCTTCTTTTATGAAGCCCCTCCCTCAGAAATAGGCGATGTGCTCTGATTGGTTAGCTAGCCCAGTGTGTTGTGATTGGCTAAACCGCCTCTAGCGCGCGTCTAATCGTCCCGTCCCTCACCTCGGCAGCACATCCTCCGGTTGAATTGTAAACAACGGCATCATTAATATCGCTTATCAGTTTGAGCCCGATTGAGAAGCAGAGGATATTATTGAAGAGGAAAAGCCATGCTTGCACAGAACCTGTGCAAGCATGGCTTTTAATGGTAGGCCTATGTTTTTTGTTTGTTGTCTCGTACTTTTAGATACGCTGTTAATTGTAAATGCTACTGCTTATGTTAGCTTTTAATATTCTGTTTTATCCTGATTAAAGCTTTAATACAGTAAGGCAACTGCACGTGCGTCCATGTTTAACGCTTCTCATAACTATGTGAAAATAAGTGTATAATTGTAACAGTTCATTGTTGGAGGTGAGCTGAATGAAAGAGAGAGAGAGAGAGAGAGAGAGAGAGAGAGAGAGGCAAAGCATGTGCAGAGCAAGGGGACGTGAGGAACAGTATTAAGAACTGCTGCTTTAGAACATTGATTTTGAAACTTGTGAATCCATTAGAATCGTTAGAAGACAGAATCGCGATTCATATATGAATAGATTTTTACATGCACCTCTAGTTTTCTCTTCCTCTTCTCTAAAGCAGTGCAGCATGGCCTCGCCCCCTTTGCTGCCTTTTCCTAAGGGCGGGGTTTATCTGGGTTTGATGTCACGAACCCGGGAAGTAACTTGTTGTAGTCCCTACAAGCTATTTTTGTAGGCATTAAACTGCCAGAATTTTAAAAGACAATATCTCCGTTTGCATTGAACTTTCAGCTTTGTAACTTTGCAGGTATTGTTTATGCTCAAACAGCAACATTAGACACTAACTAACATTAAACAAGTGAAATTGCAATGAACCACCCCTTTAATTTCAATGGTTAAAATATGGTTTAAAAGTTTTACTTAGCAATTTACATAAAAATTATGACACTGATATTGTTATAGTCCAAATTGTGAGAATGTTTTTTTTCTGCTTATTGCCCACCCCTAATGTCAATTTATCAAAAACAAAACAAAACACAGGGTCAAGCTTAGGGCTGTGATGTGTTAGGTTTCTTTATTTTTACCTTGCGAGGTGACACACAAACTGGGCGCAGAGAGCGTGGCGTCACTGGTGTAAGCGGAACACAGGTTCTCACTAGAAATTAAGAGGCAATAAAAAAGCAAATGTAATCTATCTATCTAAACTAGAATGACTGCATTTATAAAAACAGCTCTTTAAAATCTTACAAGGGGACAGAAAAGCAGTTTCTTCTTTCCTTTTAACAGTCCCGATACCAGAACATGAGACAAAACACTGAAAATGTTTCGCATGTGATGTTGTTTTCTGAAATCACATCTTTCCTGTTCTCCACTTGCCAAAGGCAGAGAAAAAGAGAAAGAGCAGCTAATCAGAGTTAATGAGTGTCACAGGTCATGCTCCTAACCAGCCTCAAAGGAAAGCTACGCCATGCAGCGGTTTGATTCTTATGCGATTCAAAATCTTTACACATGCTCTTCATGTTTTACAGGAATGCAACTATATAAAAACAGAGTGAGACAGAGAGAAAGAAGAAAAGGGCACCTGAGTTAAACAAGGTCCTGGGAAGGGTGGTAGGTGCTCTGTGGGCGGCGTGCCAGCCTGATCTGGGCCGACAGGCAACACCTAATAAATGAAGACGGAAGAGAAACTAAAGCATTGTAAAGAACGAGAGCTGGCAGAGGTGCCAATAAACTGCCACAAGCAACATGCAGCATAAGACTGAGCATTATCGTCAAAGCTGTACTCAAAATGTGACTGGAGCTTTATTATAATATTATAGAAAAGTGTCAGTTTGGTTATATGGTAAGGTTTACAATTTCAAGACAGAAATGAGTACACGGTTGCAAAAGTTGTCTAACATGCTACATCTTCTAGTCTAGGCTATATGTACTTGGGGACACATTAAAGTAAGAGACAAACACATAAGACATTTGGTCTAAACTAGATTAATGATTAGTCACATAATTCTTAGGAATTAAGTGCACTTACACTCCCTCCAAAAATATATACAACAAAAAAAAGTATTCTCTGCATTTCTACTCTTCTCTAGCTTACTTCCTAATCTAGTTGTCAAATAAATCATGCACTGAATATTACAAATATTGTTATATTTGTTATATAATTGCTATTGTAGTATCAGCTAAATGACTAGATGTATTACCTATTACTTATACCTAAATGTATAACCTACTGTATGTATAATCTATAACATTATTTCACATAGTACACTCACAGGATGGAGGCTCTTCAATTGAGGGTTTGGAGTTGTGACAACTCTGTCGTCAAAGTCTGAGAGACGCTATGAGATGTCTGGAAGAGCAAACGACAAAAACAAAGGAATTAATAATAGAAAGAGATGCTAACAATCAGATCAAAGAAGACAAAATAACAAAATGCACATCTAAATAAAAAGTACAACTGCTTCAGGCAAAGCCTGAGTGTTAAAAAAAAAGATCTTATTTCACAGCAAAGAAAAGAAAGGACGCTGTGTAAGGACAGTTAAGCAGTTATGCTTCCCAGACAAACAGAGCTAAAAATGAGCATGACATGTCACTAAAATAGCTTTGCCCTATAAAGCAAACAAAAACTGCACTGCACTGATGCATTTGGGGCCGGTTCGGTCCGTTCCAGGTACCTGCGCTGGGTTGTCTGCTGGCAAACACGGCTGTTCGGTGGGGGAGGGGACTGTGACCACATAGATGGTTGGCACAGATGTCACTAGAGGCGGTACCAATTGGGGTAGATGGGGCGGCAACGCTGACAGGGACGTGGCTGGCACAGGCACGGCTGCCGGGCACGTCAGCGCTTCAGGCACAGGTTGCTGCAGAAACGGGGCACCTGCTATAGTTGGTACGCAGAGTAGCTGGGGGGGGGAGTAAGAGAGGGGTAGCTGGATCAGATCAGTGGTTGGGAAGATGAACGAGGAGGTAAATATGTCTGCAAGCACCGACCGAGGGAGATGGAGACGGCAAGGCCAGTTTATGTGCAAAAGGAGTGATGTCTTCATTAACCGAAGGAAAACAATCACAAGATCAGACCACATGATGGAGACAACATGCCGCGGGGTGAATCTTTCTAAGCGCCTATAAACGTTGTCCCTGTCAACAACACACAAAATAAAATCCAAATCCAACACCACATCAAACACATATAACACACTTAATTTATTTATTTCTGACAGAACCCACATCTGATAAATCACATTTTTGTGCCACTACAGTGTACAGTGTAAAACAATTGCTCTGCACTAAACATTGGGAACTGAACAGAGAGACTGATCTCATTACCCCACAACTGACAACCATGCAACATACAGGCAGAAACATGCAAGAAAACGTCAATCAAACAAGCACAGCCGAGGCACGTCAGAGAGAGACGGCCACAGATATACTGTACATTGTTTCGAAATAGAAAAAGAGGGAAACAAACAAAAAGAAGAAAAAACTTCTACGAAGTAATTTACCATTTTAAAGTTAACATGAAACTGCATTCACAATCTATCTATATACAATCTATCTACATATATCTCTATACACACACACACACACATATATATGTGTGTTTGTGTATAATGCAAAATTTTTCATATTTTTCAGTAGTAATATAAAATACTTATAATAAATTATGAAAATACTGTATCTTTAACATTAAAGGGGTCATATGATGTGATTTCAAATTTTCCTTTCTCTTTGAAGTGTTACAAGCTCTTGGTGCATAAAGAAGATCTGCAAAGTTGCAAAGACTATAGTCTCAAATCTAAAGAGATATTCTTTATAAAAATTAAGAGTCAACCACGCCTACCTAAAACGGCTCGTTCTAACACGCCCCCACAAGTCTACGTCACAATGTGGGAAGATTTGCATAACGCCGCCCAAATGTTCACGCAAAGAAAGAAGGTTTAACTTTTATTCTCGCTGTAGTATTGTTGTTGCCGCCGCTGCCATGTCGTGAAGGCGCTGTGTGTTTCGTTGTGAAAGCGAAGCTACTTTGTTTGGTCTTCCGAAAGAGGACGATATCGGTTTCGTCATGCCTAGAGCTGATCTGTGCTGGTCGCTGAGGAAATACATCAACTTCGCGCTGTGGATCGCCGGATCGGCTTTCGCCATGGACAAAGCGGAGTTCAGCCCGGGGTCGTCATATGTGGTTGCCGCAAGCCCGCCGGACCCTCCTTCGTCGAATCTGCCGGCCGTTCCTCACTCTAGCCCGCCATGTGTTTCGTTGTGAAAGCGAAAATACTTTATTTGGCCTTCCAAAAGAGGACACGACTAGAAATCAGTGGTTAAGTTGTATTTACAACACTGTTCCAGAACAGTTCAACCCAAATATTCAGATGTGTGCAGCACATTTTATGGAGGACTGTTTACTGATCCTGGTAGAGTAGACTACAATGCCGGCTGTTCTGACTCACAGACTGTAAGTATGCTTTTTTTATATTTAAAGGATTTGCCACTGACGATTCAAATGCGAGTTTTGAGCAGTGTAGAGTAGCGCTTGTTGTTTGTCATTTCTCCGATCACAAATGCAGACATGGTTTTATGTTTACGCGGCGCGATGCAACGTGTAAAAAGACAGTATAAGTCATTATAATCTGTAATTATGTCCCCACTAGATGCAACAAATGCCTCATTTATAATGGGTTTTAATGTTTTTGTCTCGTCGCTCCGGCCGGACAGGGCATCACAGTATGGTAAGGGGCATAACATTTCCGTCACACGCTTGAAGTATTCGGCCAATCAAAACGCACTGGATAGCTGGCCAATCACAGCACACCTCGCTTTTCAGACCGATGAGCTTTGTAAAGATCGACGCGTTTCAGAAAGACGGGGCATAGAGGAGAAACAAAAACATACAGTATGTGGAAAATAATGTCTTTTTTTAACCTTAAACTGCATAAACACATTTCATTACACCAAATACACAAAATAATGTTCTTTTTAGCAACATCATATGACCCCTTTAATACTTAAACAAAAATCTTTATATATATATATATATATATATATATATAATGTATATATGTGTATATATATATATATATATATACACACCGATCAGGCATAACATTATGACCACCTTCCTAATATTGTGTTGGTCCCCCTTTTGCTGCCAAAACAGCCCTGACCCGTCGAGGCATGGACTCCACTAGACCCCTGAAGGTGTGTTGTGGTATCTGGCACCAGGATGTTAGCAGTAGATCCTTTAAGTCCTGCAAGTTGTGAGGTGGGACCTCCATGGATCGGACTTGTTTGTTCAGCACATCCCACAGATGCTTGATTAGATTGAGATCTGGGGAATTTGGAAGCCAAGTCAACACTTTCCTGAACAATAAAATAATAATAATATAATTAACTTATAGGCTTTTTCAGCATTTTTGGCTTCTAGCTTGATTTGCTTACATCACATTTAATTGTACCTGTGTGGGCTGGACCTGTGTCTGGGAACTGCTCTGAACCACAGTGCTGGGAGGCTGTTGGGGAACTTGCTGTTGGGATAACGAGACACCTGGTTGGAATGTCTGCCCCAGAGAAACTTGTTGTGGAACAGCAGCCTAAAAAGAGAATAAGCATTTTCACATGAATTGTTCACATGCTCACAGTCTCCATATAAACCTGCAAGCATTAGAAAATAAGTGCATTTTGGGATCACATGCAGTCTGTACTAAAAAAAAACTCATCCTATTAGGCCAATGTGCCCTAAATAATTTTTACTCATCCTTTACTTTGTAAAAACAAAACATTTACATTTTAATTTACAGTAATGTCTTTAACATGCAAGTCTATGGGGCAATACATTTTACAAGAGCATAATACCGTAACACATAACTAGGAGTTTAAACTAGAACAGAGTTCCCACCACTAAAATAAGCACTTACAAAAATACAAGCTTCACGTTTTTGCTTTGAAACCCTCCGGAGAGTCTTGCCCCACATTGTAAGTGCATTACAACAAATTTTTGCTTTTACAAACCGAAGGACAAAAGTATGGTGTGCGGCAATCACCACCAGCACGTCACAGATGCTGTTCATAGTGCTCAACCTGGAACACTCCTTTAATAACACCTTTAAATAGCTTACCTTCAAAGAACAACTCAACATAGATATAGACATATTGATCTTGATCTGGGACTTTAAGACATTGACAAGCTTCCTTTCCAAGCCTCATTCAAACAGAGCAACATTTTGTCACATAGCTCATTACACAATAATGAAATAACAAAACTTAAGACGGCAAGTCAAAGAGCTCCAAAGTAAAGTGTAGGTAAATGTGAAAAAGAGGGAGAGAGGAAAAAAGAAAGAGAGAAAGAGGAATGGGTTTTTTCTCTACCTGCGAAGGGAGTGCTTGGATGTAGTAACCTCCATACTATAAGAAACAAATACAACACAGTGTAAGTGAAACACACTTCTGATGTCCACAGCTTTCACACGCAGGAGAGAATCCAGAGAGATTTAAACAAACAAAAATAAAACTTAAAAAGGTCTTGGAGTGTGTGGAAAGTGAGCGGTTTATTTGCCTTGGCCTGTACTGGATATTTATTCATGCTAATGAATGGGGGAAAAGATGATTCTGATTGGTCAGACACATTGATCTTACCTGTTGAGAAGCAGAGGTGGCTGATGGGGTGCTGCAGGAAACCAGAGACATGGCACTTGTAGATTGAGGGATTGGGATCTGCACCTGTTTTGAATATGAAGAGGAATATGGGGGCAGGCGAGAAAGTGAGAGAGAAACAGAGAAAGAGATATGGCAGTGGTGGAGAGATGAAAAGAAAAAAAGACAAGTCAAAATATGTTGGTGGCTACAGCGAAAAACAACAATGACTTTCAAATACTGACCATTCATACGCAAAGTGTGAACACTCTGAGCAATGCACTCAGGTCACCATTCACTTTTTGTGTATGCCTCTCACATATCACGATTAAACGACAAATAAACATCAGGTGTTAGCCGGGGAGTGAGTAGGCTTCATGCATGTGACTCTACATGAATCTGTAGCTTGGGTGAATGTTATAAAAAATAAAATAAAATAAAAAAGCTCAGGGAAGCATGTGGAGTTGTTTGTATAACCAAGAAAGCGTCTTCTAAAATAGACCCGACCACTAATATTTCCAAATTTGACCACTTTCCCCCCACATGGAGGGTTTCGACAGAAGCAACCCTTAGAAAGCTACAAATATACTTGTCCTTCAATTTCTCTTCTGCGAGGTACAGACAAGTATAGTTGCTCCAGACGCAGATCACCTTACCTTGTCATTTTACTGAAGAAATTAATTATTAGCGAGAGGTTTAAGGAGCAGCAGGAAATAACAAAGCCTTGGCAGATAAGAGGATGAAAATAACATCAGTATAAAAGATAAAGAGAGGCAGAAAAGGTGTATAAAATAGGGGCGGAGAATGAGACTGCAGGATGACACTGATAATGCCAGCCTTCTAAGGGTTAAAAGATGACTTCTCAGCTTATGAAGTTAACATCCTAAAAGTAGTCAACAAATGTTGGGTTCTTGTGCTGGTAGTTCTTTACTGAGGCTGTTTCTCGACTGGTGTCCTCAACAAAGACAAAATTGAAAATAAATAAATAAAAGAATTGTTTTAACCATTTCCAGCCAACTATAATGTAGCAGCAGATCTAAAAAGCAGCTGTTAAGGTAGAATACAACAAAAACATGATGTTTTTGTAAGGAAGATTAAAGGAACCTTAAGAGACAAGCAAACCTATCTAAACCCCCTCTTTTGCTGTATGTGGCTGTGTTTGGTCATACAAATCCCGCATTCAAGCCTTTTTTTTTCTTTCTTCAAATCCTTTTATTTCCACTGTTGTAAGTTGGTCTTTATCGTTAGAATAATTTGAAAGAGGCAATCAAAACTTCAGATTTGTATGTCATCTACAGATATGTAGCATTACACAATATCTGTGCAAACACACAAGTATCATATACAGCATTATATGAACTTACACACAAAATAATACTTACAAAGTGCATCTGAAATGAAAAATCAATGGAAATAAAGCAAATCACTGTCCAATGGAAGATACAGAAAGGTCTTTGCACAAAGGGGATTTAAAAAGCAGGTTTATGCATTTTTAGCTCAATGCGCCTTGTGAACCTTTCTGAGCCCTAAATTATGGCTGGAGAGGGTTAAAACCACGGGACAAAAAAAAATAAAAATCAGGTAACTGAGAGAGAGACAGGGAGTGCTGGGGAAAGGTGGACGAGAACAAGTATTTCTAGGTACCAAGGTAGCGCCCTGATGGGACAAGGCAGGCTCGTGGTATTTGAGGTCCGGTGGATGGGATGGTTGACGGGCCCAGGTACTATGCAGAGCACTGATGTGCGAGGACGGAATGGTGGATGATTCAGAAGGTGGAATGAACAGAAACATCGTCTGACTGGGTGGGTGTCCTTCGCTGATGTTGCTCCCTCCATCTGTTTTGTAGTACAACATTTGTGGGATGGATTGAGCTGCAGAACAGTCTTGAGATTGGAACAAAGGATGAGGTGGAGGCGAGTGGAACTCCCCAGCATCGGAGGAGGTCATGGAGTCACTTGAAGGTTCAGGACTGAGTTCTTTAGGTCCATGGAGAAGCAGGTTGCCCGGGGGAAGGGGCAGCTCCGGGCTCACGTAGCTATACAGTTCTTCAGTAACGGGCTGCAATCGACCACACAAGCCCTGGCTGCCAGACGCTTCCTCCAGGTTAAGGTCCATGGAGCCTCGGCGGGCTCGGTACAGTCTGGACGCCAGCATGGCTGGGTCTGCCTGGAGGTTGTGCATGTGGAATTCAAAGGCGGTGCTCGGCTCAGATGTGTGAGCCAACACAGGTGGTGCGGAATGGGGAAACAAATGGGGCTGATAGCTTGGATCTGCAGCTGCGGTTTGTTGCGGCGCAGAGGCAGAGCTAGACACACTCATGGAAGGCAGTTGCGGGATCGGGCTGTGGGTTAAGCGCATGTGACTCTGGACATGAGGGTGTAGGTAAGCTGGCCCAGGCTGTGATTGAGTCTCATAGGCCAAGCTAGCTGCAGCGGCGACCTGCATTTGCTGATGGAAGCTGATGTGGCTTAGCTGATGTGCAGTCATAGGGTAGCCACTGTATGCCATGGCTTCCAGATGGTCCATTAATGCAGCCTGGTTGAGGCTGAGTCTGCGCACAGCTTCCTCTTGCTCGGCTCTCATGTCTTTATATCCGTATAGCGGTTCTGCTGGGGGCTGTAGGTGCAGTGGTTCGGCCAACCTTTGAGCCGCCATCCCGGGCATCATGAACAGGGATGGTTCACAGCCGGGGGCCAAAGCTTCCATGCCAGAAAACGGGTGCAGGCTACTGCCGTAGCTACGATGGTAGGCGGGTTGGAAGTGACGAGTGTGGGCCTCCAGGATGGAGGTGCTCTTTCGGCGCTGCACGCTGAAAGCTTTAGGCGAGCAAGATGGCGGGGGGGAGAACGAGACGGGCCGTTCCGGGATGGTGGGGAAAAAGAGCTGGGGCTCGACCAGACCTGAGCCTCCTCCACCGTACGGCTGACTGACTGATTGTGGCTGCAGTGACAATAACATACAGCATCTTTGTGAGGAAGTAGAAAAAGCAACATCACATAATTCACAAAGCAAGAGAAAGAGAGGGAAAAAAAGATAAGTGAAAACAGCAGATAATATTCATCCTATCATGCAAAGATGTCTCAATGACAAAAGAATAAGTTAAGAGATGTTTAACTGCTAAATGAGGTTTAAAAACATGACTGCGACAGATTTACAATTAAATACAGATGCTTCACAGGCTGTGGGGACTAGGAACCATTTTAATGATTGCAGTTCATGCCAATCTGTATTTAATGTGAGCACAGGGTTCCAGCAGAGTGGGCCAGTGTAACGTGGGTATCTGAAAAGGATTTTAACATGTCTTCATATTCATAAAAACTGACCTGTGGTCAACCCCTCATATTCTCAAGATTAATAACCCACCAGAACAATGATATAATCAGTTTTTTGGCTCAAGTGAAGAGGGGGAAAAAAGCAACTCTGAACCTCTGACATACAAGAAAAAATATAAATAAGCTATTTATACTTGATACATTACATAACGGCTAATTTGTGAAATTGCATTATTCATAACACACCACTTTTTGCTAGCATTACTAAGGGACTAACATCAGCTTGGGACTAGACAGACTGAAAAAGTTTGGGTTTTTACTTCCAATAATGGTTTTAATGTTACCACTAAACACTTAGAGATTGTTAGGCTTAAATTCAATGTTTTTGGATTCCGAATAGCTTATTTTGACTTAATAATGTAGAGCAGGGGTTCTGAACTCTGGACCTCAAGAACCACTTTCCTGCAGAGATTAGCTCCAACCTGGGGCCCGTTCTTCGTACGTCGCTTATTACATCCAAGATGAAATGTCACATCCAAGATGATATCATCATGCTAATCAGGATCTGGCTAATTCGGTTCTTCGAACGCACCTGTTGTTGATGATTAGTCTGGCTGGATTGAGTTTTCTGAGATAATTGCGCTTTCATGGGTTGGTTTAAAAGGGGCTATGTATCGATACTCAAAACCACGATCAGCAATGCAACGATTGGCTGGCAGCAAGACAGCAACGTAATGACATTATATAATTAAAAAAAGACACCTGATGAAAAACTTGACAGATCTTCTGACTTTTATAAGGGAAACAGCCAAGCGAACAAAACAACATAAATGTTATAACAGATAAATGAAATGTGTTTTTATTTTATTTGAATTTTTTTACATGATTCCCAATTATTTATATTCACGATTTCTAATATTTGTACAGGCTTTACATTTTTATTTCAATGTAGTAATTAGCAATTCATTTAATTTTATATTTGAACAGATTTATTACGTGACAGCATTAATTCAAGTTTTTTTTAAGGGTCAAGATCATGTTATCTGCATCTCCTGCACTCCATCAATCACTCAAATTAATGCACAACTCTACATTATCTGTATAGCATGTGTGTAAGACTCGAATACAAGTATAAAGTAATCATTTTATGACGAATAAATCTTTCAGTGAGTAAAACTGGCTGTGTCTATAGTACTAAAGACTACACAACATTATTATATTATTTTTAAATGATTATTATTTTAAATTATTGTCCCTGGATTAGTAGGGTACATTTATAATAAAGTAGCGGTGGTAGCGGACAGATTTTAAGTATCGATTCTGCTTAAAAAGATGCAATCTAATCCTGTTTACATGAAATAAGCCTGCACCCGAGGTTTAAGCTTATGGACCTGTTGCTATGACAGCAACTCCGGGATGAGCTTCGAAGAACCAAACAATCCAAGATCATGCCAAATCGTCAACAATCAAATCCAGCTAAATGAGTTAGCGACGTACGAAGAACGGGTCCCTGGATTAAACATGCCTACCTGCAACTTTGTAGTAACCCTGAAGACCTTGATTAGCTTGTTCAGGTGTGTTTGATTAGGGTTGGAGCTAAACTCTGCAGGAAAGTGGATCTTGAGGACCCCTGATGTAGAAGGATGCCATTTTATTTTTAGATCACACCTTTGGTGTTTTAGGGATGTAAATATCTGTCCTGAAAACAATTTTATTGTATCAACTTGTATTATTATTTGCACTCTTCTTCTTCTTATTTTCATAAAAGTGTTCTTCACAGATACCCATGTTGTACCCAAGTCCAACACAGCGGGAGAATCCTGGTTCACTGGGAGACACTAACATACAGGACTGGCAAAGATTGCTGGGAGACTGGCACGGCGACGGGGCGGGGCCGAGTGAAGGGGCAGGACACTCTCCAGTGCTTTGGACAGTCGGCCCGCAAACGTCTCCCCATCTGGCCTCCCCAACCGGGGTGAGAGTGGGGCTGATGCGACTGGAGGAGGGGTTGAAGGTGGCTTGGGAGGGCACGACAGAGCAGAGGTGGTAGAAAAGCAGGGCACGCAAACAGACATGCTACGACCACGACGACGGGGAAGAGGTGGAGGAGGCTGGAGGTGAAGGAGGGGAATTGACTATTAACCAAAATGGAACACAAATGGAATACACAAAAAGCCAAATAACCAAAAGGAAACTACAAGGAAAAATTTGATACAAGATTAAATATCAACATTGCTAACATTCTAAGATGCTACACAAGACATTGATCTACAATAAACCTTGACCTACATGTTGATTAAATCTAACATCGGCTGTCAAGTCAGACCAAAAGAATGAGCCTGGTTCAACTGATGATTCATGATGTTTCATAAAAAAAATAGTTTTACCATGACTAACATGTTATCAGTAACAGAGACATTTATGCTATGATATGACTGCATGTGACAATATCAATACCTGATGAATCATGAAATTGTGAGCTAATTTTGAGATTAAAGTAATACTTGTCTTATCTGAAATTGATCAGGTTGCATGTTGTTACACAGAAACTTGGTGTGTTAATGACTGGGAAAAATATGCAGCTAAGGAAAATCACTAAAGAAGTGACACTATGTCACTGCTTAAGCAGTATTCAGACTCCAAGAAATTTACAGCACAGACTGTCTACCATGTAGACAACGGATACAAACTGAGGTTAGCAAAGTCCTCGAAACCATCACAGAAAATCAGCCCTCTGAGATGTTTTATGATAAAGAACAGCATAAACAGAAGTACGTACAGAATATGTACAGCAAAAACAAAGATCACAAACAGCACATTGGGTATAAAAACAGAGGAACAAAAATAAATGTACAATACACTAACAGTCATCAGTGCCGTGCAGACTTCAGATATCACTTTGAGTGGGAACTAAGCAACCATTTCAAGTCAGGTGAGAAGGTATTTATTAATAAAACCATTATTATAAAAGTAAATCATTAGAAGTCACACCCACAGACAGAGTAATAAAGAGACAGTCTTTGACATCAAGGTGTTTACTTATGACTAAAGTGTTTCAGGCTCTATGGAAAATGATGCAAACTAATTCAAAACTAATGAGTGAGAAGAGATGAGATGATAAAGTCCCTGAGAAAGATCCAGAAAGTGTCCTCTATGAATGTTGTGACTCTGATGTGTTTAAATGATCATGGTTTAAGTGCCCAGGATGGCAAAAACAACCACCCAGGAAGTGATGAATGCCCGTCAGTCTGCACAGCATGATACACTGCTACACTGCACTGCCTTTTTGGGAGGAATCAAAAATACTGACATAAAACAAAAAGAAAGAAGGTAAAGGAACCCAAAGAATGTATTAAAATGCAAAGAGGTTGAAGAGGGAGAGGCAGCTCAAGTACAAGTGGGAAGTGGAAATATACTTGGCAGTCAGAAAATAAAGAAAAAGCAAGACAGAGAGAGAGAGAGAGAGAGAGAGAGAGAGAGAGAGAGAGAGAGAACTGAGAGCTAGGGTTGGGTATTGTTTGAATTTTATCGATTCCAATAAGACAAAAACAAATCCAATAAAAAAAACATTAAGTTAACATTTAGATGTTAAACATTTATTCTGTCTTTTTACAAAGCGCTCTGTTGCAGTTAAATAACAAGCAAAAATCAGCAGCCTACAGAACACTAAAGCCTACAAGAGGAACATTTGCCTATGGTTTCAACAAAAATACCACAGTGAAAACAACTGGACTAATATTAATTTCAAACATTGTTAAAGACAAACAAATCAATTAGCAACAGCATAAATGAATACAACTGAACGAATTTAAAGTACAAAAATTGTAATCAAAAGTTTAACAATACTGCATAGTTTTCTTTTCATAAATAAAATATAGATCAATCCTCATTAAAATCACCATGGTTCTCCGTGCTCGCGGCACGCAAAACAGTGCGCAAGTTCTTTCCCTTCCCGTGATTAAATAATTTTTTTTTTTAAATCACACTAAAATGCGAACGCAGGAATCATTACGCGGAATCGAAATGCACGTGTCTTATCAAATACCCAGTTCTTGGATATTTGGAACAGGTTTTAAACTGGAAACGGTTTTCGATACCCAACCCTACTGAGAGCAGGCCATATAAAAAGAATCAAACCCATTTAGAATGTAGACGTTATGGCTTTGCTTTCCTTTCTCATGCATCCAATAAGACAAAAACAAATCCAATAAAAAAAACATTAAGTTAACATTTAGATGTTAAACATTTATTCTGTCTTTTTACAAAGCGCTCTGTTGCAGTTAAATAACAAGCAAAAATCAGCAGCCTACAGAACACTAAAGCCTACAAGAGGAACATTTGCCTATGGTTTCAACAAAAATACCACAGTGAAAACAACTGGACTAATATTAATTTCAAACATTGTTAAAGACAAACAAATCAATTAGCAACAGCATAAATGAATACAACTGAACGAATTTAAAGTACAAAAATTGTAATCAAAAGTTTAACAATACTGCATAGTTTTCTTTTCATAAATAAAATATAGATCAATCCTCATTAAAATCACCATGGTTCTCTGTGCTCGCGGCACGCAAAACAGTGCGCAAGTTCTTTCCCTTCCCGTGATTAAATAATTTTTTTTTAAAAATCACACTAAAATGCGAACGCAGGAATCATTACGTGGAATCGAAATGCACGTGTCTTATCAAATACCCAGTTCTTGGATATTTGGAACAGGTTTTAAACTGGAAACGGTTTTCGATACCCAACCCTACTGAGAGCAGGCCATATAAAAAGAATCAAACCCATTTAGAATGTAGACGTTATGGCTTTGCTTTCCTTTCTCATGCATCATTCATTTAGTGTCTTATAATAACAAACCATCATCAAACTCCAAAGCTAAATACATGCAACCACAAAGAGATCATATTCAAAAGTTAAACAACAACTGAACATTGATTCATGATTCAGTAGTTATTAATTTCAGGCTATACAAATTCTATGTACAGATCACATCTGTGTTGCTTCACTGGGTTCTTACCTTTGCACAACATGAAATATTATGGGAACAGATGGAGACATTAGAACTAAATAGATTCTAACTGAAGATAAACATGTGGCCACATGATTTGCTGAATTAACCTGTCAATAATAATGTCAAGTGCACACTACAATATAGAAACATGTTTTCCTGAGCTCATTTAACTCAATTTCTTGTTTTCCATCAAATCTTTTGAGAAGTTTGGTGTGGTGCACTGATCATCATTTTGGCTAGAAAATGCTGTAACATAATAAGTGTGGAATTTGTCAATAGCCAGCAGCTGTAAAAAAACAGATCAAAGATGCAACTATGTGACCTGCTACACTGAACCTGCAATTAGGTGTTGAGTTCTTGACTTAGCCCAAGTTCTTCTTCTGTGACTTACCATGGGCTGCTGGGGGTATGCGGTGTGCTGTTGGGGAGCTTGAGAGCTGGGAGGGTAGGCGGCCTGTCCAGGCACCTGCTGGGGTTGCGACGCTGCAGGAGAACTATACGACATGCTGAGCTGGCTGGGGTGAGGTTCTGAGAACACGGATGAACCCTGACCACTGTCAAGCGCCCCGTCAGCCACTGGGAAAATATACGACATTCAAAATTAAATAGGAAATGACAGGTAGGTTGATAGTTTGTTTTATTTGTTTGTGTTTAATGCCATGCCAGCTTCTGTGGCTATTTTCATGGGGAGAAAAATTGATGGCTAAATTATATCAGGTTTTTACAATATATTTTAAGTAAAAACTCTAAAACTGTATTTGGCTTAACTTTGTTAAAAATCTCTTCAAAAGAGTTAACCGAATGAAAAAGTTTTCAGTTAGGTTGATCGACTGATAGGTTGCGTCCAACACTTACAGGTAATTCCACTTTGCATGTACTGAAGCTGCTGGTCTGCGTCAGGCTCCTCCCACTCAGGCTGGACGAGGCCAGGGGTCGGAGGTTGGGAACCGCACTGACTCTGTGCAGAACCTTGAGAGCTGGGCACGTTCTTCAAAGACTCGCTAGACAACTGCTTTTGCTCCTCCTCCTGCTTGCGTTTCTCTTGCTTGGCTCGCACCTGCTGTCTTTGCTCTCGTTTGCGGCAGATCAGGGACACACGGTCCCTGATGGCCTTGGCCATGGTTTTGTGGTCGCCCTCGCAAACATAGCCCGACTCAACCTGTATTTAAACACAGCATATGTTACCATGTACTGTACATGTGCTATATCTGATTTGGAGAGTAATTGATAAACCCACCATTTCCTGAGCCACATCTTCTGGCACATCTCGATGGAGGTCGAAGGAAAACTCGATGGCTTCGTTGTCTTTGTATTTGCCTTTCAGTTTCTTGACGTCTTCAATACGTAACCAGAGTTTGATGGCAATCACCTCCCCATCATCCTCCTCAGCCAGCTCCACCCGCACCCCAGTCTCCTCCTGGAAGAAGGCATGGTTCAGAAGGTCCTTGATGGCGTATCTGTTAAGGAAGAGGCAAAATGACACGCAAACAAGGTAAAAGACGTTAAATAAGGATAGCCGATCAATAAAATAAATACATTTAGAAGCACATAGCTAACAAAGATCAACCAAATCACATTTATTATCTAATACAGAAGCACAAGGTGGAACTTTGGGGTTGTCCCGGAGTAACTGAATGATTCAAGCAAAATAAACTTTAAAGAGGACCTGACTTGAATTTGAGCGCCTCATGATCAAATTGATCTTTATTGGGTTTCAGAACTCTCCAGACATAAGTGAAGTTTGATGACTTGGCGCCATTCTATGGTGATGTTGCATGAATGTCACGAAAACAAATTTCACCCTTCCTGGTTGTGTAGCGATAAATATTCTACCCAACATTCTATCCTGTTGCATTTGATTCTATGGAACAAACTCACTCTCCATTCACAACCCATCAACAGGAGACATATGAAGAAATCTATAAATGTTTAACATGAACTCTAAATCAAATGTGCACATACTAACAAATTAAACCACTAAGGATGTACGTACAGGGATTGACCAATCACGGCACATCTAAAAAGAACTGATTCATGTCACCTGCATGGAATTATGGATATAAGGATAAAAGATAAAATTGCACCAAGTCAGACCTTTCACATTCAGGAGAGAAAAAAAAAAATCTCAAGTGGGCTCTTGATTAGCTGTATATAGTAGACATCAGCTTTTCCAGTGCTTCATCAGCGGAACATCAGATGTCGTCTCACCTTACGCTCGACACACTGTTTGCGATTTTCCATTCAATTTTTTTATGCACTGAAGCGTCAGCTTTATGACTTTCCACAAATTATTGGGAAAAATACTTCAGCTGGTGATCAAGGTCATTAAAAAACATTAAAATGCAAATAAAAATTACGTTTTTTTGGCTTGAACATTTAGGTAGACAGACTCGAACAGGAGACAGTCCGGTCAGGGCTTATGTTTTTCTGTGGCATGAGGACACAGTGCACTCTTCGCTGGCTTGGCGTGATCACAGATCCATTTCACTAAGTGGCTTGATGCTGGAACTTTTCCAAAACAGCGTGAGGGACTTATCTACTGCTACTATTTACATTCCACATGGAGGACCATACACCTAGAGATTGTGATATACACTCACATCAGCACGAGTTCAGTGCATCTGCGGGCAGGCACACGGCACACGTCGCTGAGAACTGAGGCATGACTAGATGAATGAGTTCTGTGAACGCGGCGTGGGTGTGTGTAGTAGGCACAGCCTTACCTTTCATCTTTGTATTGGCGAATACATCCCTCGATGATCTCTTTCACCTCTGGAATGGCTACCTTGTCGAAACTGCCAGGTTTAACTCCCTGCAGGGTTGAAACACAAAAGAACATTAAATCAACATGTCTTTTGTGCTGTGAAAGAAATCCTTTTAGAGCTCCACAGGGACTTAACAAAACTACATATGGTGCATGCTTTATGCGCTTTAGTGTCTGCCAGGTGAAAATCATCTGATCAATTTCTAGACAAACCACACAATCTGAGATGGCAGAAGACAAGCTAAAGTTTCATACTTAGGGTTCAGAGTTTATTCAGATTCCTAACCGCAAGTATGAGCAATAGCGATGTCTGCCATAGCAAGCACTACTAAAAAGTGTTTTTTGATGGCATAAGTGTAAATGTGGTTTGCATTATAATTAAACCCACGACAATCAAGATATAGCTGCTTAACTGGCAGATTTATTCATTTTGCTGAACAGAGTTACCTTCTCAGTCATCAGGAACACTTAAATCCATTAAGCCAGGAGTTTTCAGAGGAAGAAATGCAAAAAGGACTTTTTTATTATTAATATATTTTCCCCAAAAATATTTTAAAGATTCATTTTGGCTTTAGTACAATGACGACATATTTATGCAAATATTTACAGTATTTAATTATTAATTTTTAATGAAAAAACCCCCCTTAATTATGATAAACACGAACACAGAATCCCTATATAGATTATAATTCAATTTAATATCTAATGGAAGATGAGGTTGCACAGAGTACTAGTAAGAATTCTGCTCTACAAAAAGCAAATTTTACTATCAAATATTGTTCAAATGTATCATTCACTTCACTCTTAAAAAAACAGGCAAAACTTTGGTCACCTTAGGGGTAAATGATTAGTTAATTACATTTTACTTAATCTCTACAAATCCGAATGGATTTCTAGCAACATCTAATCTCATTCCCAGCCATTAGATTTAGCACTGGAAACAACAAACTCCACCATGTGAAAACCAACATACAATACATTTTTTTAAACAATAATATTCTGCTACTGTTCCCACTATATCTTTACAATTCTAAAATGACCCTTTTAAAATCATTTAACATCACAAAATGCCTACATAGAGCTAGGCTGTCAAAACCACCCAAGACAAAAAGAGTGCAAGAAACTTACAAGTGAAATCCTGGAACACTATTGCTTTACAGAGTGGACTGCCTGAACTATTACTCCCCCTGTCTCAGCATTACCTCTTTATATAAGTCTGTAACCCCCCTCAAATTCCAGTGCCAAACAAAGTTAAGGATGACGGAGTATCTAACAGAATTAAGGCAGAACGGCGAAGTATTCCGATAAAAAGGTGATTTAAAAAGCTTGTTATGGACGCTGTGAATGGGTCCCCTAAAGCCAGATATACATGCTGTTCCCCAGCTCTCCTACCGGTTAACAAAGGCGAAAAATTAGAAGCAATCATTTTGTATTTAACAAAGCAGAGAGAGAGAGGAAGGCTCCTGGAACAGCTGGGGGCAGAGAAAAGGAACAAAAGCAATCTTCAACTTATACTCTGTTCAACTCCCCAAGCGACAAAGTGTTATGGTGCATAAGCATACTGAAGAATACTATTTTCTGGTTGAACTCCTTCGATGCCACATCTTGAAATTACATTCAAGGGTTGGAAGATGCAGCCAAATGACTGAGACATTACATCCAAACTAGACTTTTACCATTTTTTTCCCATGCTTAATCCAATTCTGTGTGATATTTTGGTAAATATTCAAGTACAAAATAGGATCAAGGGCTTTTTTTTTTTTTTTTTTTGGAGTTCTTTATCATTTATCTGGTAAGTGTCTCCTCAACAAGCTGCGCAATTTTAAGGTATCATTCATGTCTGTAGCACAAATTGGCTCCAATTCCATGAACACTTCAGTGAAACGGTCAGGCTGAAACCGCTCCATGCTCGTTGCTTTGAGATTACAGGCAGCATTTGCAGATGTTCCGATGGAAAGAACAAATCTGAACCGTTTCATCGTAATGAAAGCGTTTACTCTGGGGCCGAGATGGGACAAGTCCCACATCTGTCTGTGAGGGCAACCTCGGGTCCACTGAGCTTAAAATGCTTCCTGATTGCGTAAAGCTTAAATTGCTTCTCTCAGTGAAATGTTGTGCATGTGAAATTTGATTTCATGAGATTAAAAAGCCTTCAGGCAGGTGGATGCCAGTTTTCCAGACAGGCGGATAGAGCTGGTGAAATCTAGGATGTGCTCTGCACTTTCCAAAGCTAACAGGTGGAAAGGGAAACACCTGTACACCTGACTCAAGAGTGCTAATGAAAAGAAACAGACAAACTTAGCTGTATGTACCACTAATAAAAGCAGTCTAGAACCTTCTACATTAACTTTTTCAATGACCAGAGCAGCTCTAAACTTATTATACCGTAATAATGTACACTTTTGGTAATCAAAACAATTGATTAAAACAAAAAATATTTGTATTAACAAAAACATTCAGGCAAATAGAGAGGATTCAGAATGGAGAATCAGTACTGCTCCCTACTGGTGAGCCCCTCACAGGCTTACCACAATCCTCAGCCAGTTATTTTCTGCCTCTGCTGATTATATTTTCAACCTCCAGCATCATATGATCAGCCTATTGACCTGAACGAGAATAAAAAAGCTCATGACTGCCTTATACTCCCCCTCCTCTTCTCTACCAATGATTTTAAAAAACATCAATGAAGGGAAAGACTGATTCAATTTATAAACTATTTATAAACAACATGACTGGCCTTTTCCAGCCTTCTAACAATGGTCTTGGATTCATATATAGCTGTACTCTCAGGGAAATTCACCTCGATTGTTCTGACAACGTATGTCCATAAATAGATGAACAATTTTAATCACCTTCAAGCATGATTACATCACAATGGCTTAAAAGAGGTCTGAAATAAATAAATCCAGAGAAAAAGGAAAAAAATATATATTGTGGAATATTTTGAGTTCAAACGAGACCACGTCAGTCAAACACGAAGCTACATTAAAGCTGGGGAGAGCAATTGTTCGAGCTAGAGACTGCCTTCATGGAAAGTCAACACATGACACACCACAAGCTGATATCAGTGATGGCTGTAAAACTGATTTAATCAAAGCAAAATTTTATTGCGACTGGCAGGAAAAATTACCTTATACATCCAGATGCCCAACTGTTTTAATTTTGGACAATTACTTCTTATTGGGTGGGTCTGAGATAAGGTTGGACCGTATGACTACCAGTAAACTGGTCAAAATGAGGAATCTTAAGGTGTTTTTTACAATCGCTTTGAAAGTGGCTCGTCCAATCAGAATTTAGAGTCCCATTAATCAGTTTTATAATGTTAGATGTACAGTTTTGAGTCTTTTGTTTATAACTTTTATTTTGAACTGATGCTAAACTTTTTCATTTGTTCATTGTTAATAATCTTGTTAATTTTCATCAAAAAATCTAGATGATAAATTTAGATGATGTACCTTTTGCTTCTAAAAAATGTATTCAATGGCTTTTCGAGGAATAGGTATTACCATATAAATATTAAAATAATTTTTTTTAAAGAAATGAATACTTGTATTCAGCAAGGATGCATTAAATTCATCAAAACTGTAAACATTTATAATGTTAAAAAGGAGATCTGTTTCAAATAATTATATTTAATTCTATTAAATTCTATTTTAACAATAAGAAGAAATGTTTCTTGAGCACCAAATCAGCATATTAGAATGATTTCTGAAGCAGGATCATGTGACACTGAAGACTGGAGAAATGATGCTGAAAATTCAGCTTTTTTATCACAGGAATAAATTACATTTTAAAATATATTACAATAGAACAGTTACTTTAAATTGTAATAATATTTCACAAATAACTCAGTTTTTATTGTATTTTTGATCAAATAAATGCAGCCTTGGTGAGAATAGGAGACTCCTTTCAAAAACATAAAAAAATCTCATCAACCCCAAACTTTTGAACAGTAATGTCTATTGTGATCTATACTGTTAATATGACATAAAAGTAAGATTTTGGTCTGGGATGCCAGGGCTGACGAACACAAAGCAAGCCTGACATTGTTTCTCATTTTTCTTTTTCGCTCATCTCCCCATGTCTCCTCCAACTGTCTTTCTCTCCTGGCAGTAATGGTGGTGTTCCTGTTGTTGTGAGCTATGTGACAGATAACTAATTGTGTGTGACTGAGGCTCTGAGGATGATGGATCTTTCTGGGACTCATTTTTGTGTGTTCTGGAAACTAGATAAATAAATGATTACAAGTGTACAACGACACATTTTAATATTCTTCGTTTCTATTCTTCATATTTGAATGTTCTTATTTTAAAGGGCCAACACGGTTTTATTCAATAAACAATATGCCTGCAACATTTCTTGGTTTTCTTGGTGACATCTTCATGTGCATGAGTCACCAGTTATTTTTTTTCTTTCATGAAAATCTAATATGTCTGTATGCTACGTTTCTATGAACTGCTTTGGGAGGTGGAAAAAGCAAGAATGTGCAGGTACCACAGTCAGGTACTAGTATTTAAGTGGGTGCATATATATGACTGTGTGTGTGTGTGTGTGTGATGAAAACACTGACTCAAACTGAAAAACTTGTATTGTTTTTTTTAATAGTATTAAGCTTCAAATGTGAACTAAACATTGGATTGGTTTCTTCTTTAAATAAAAAAGTGAAAATATAGGCTACCTGGTATTATAATGTTATACTAAAACTAAAATTTAAATACTTGAAAAACCCTTAAGATAACTAGTACAAAGAAAGAAACATCTTAAGCACGCAGAATAACATAAGTTGATTTTGAACGACTAATTGCCGCTTTGAACGATTACGTAATTGTGGCATCCGTAATTGTAATCGCGATTAGAAATTCGATTAATTGTGCAGCCCTACTGCATATATATATATATATATATATATATAGAGAGAGAGAGAGAGAGACAGATAGAGAGAGAGAGAGAATTAAAGATTTTTAGAAAACCCAAGATATCCATGTTTACAGTTATCATTTCTTTAAAGAGGAGAGATAGAATGTCAGCATATTTTCTTAGCAGGCTGAAATAGAATTCTTGGCAGCTGAAAATGGGTCTTCCAAAGTTAAAAGACTGAATTATAAAACAGCAAATTCAATAATTAGTAATGTTTCGGACAATTTTTATTGATGAAATGTTGCCTTTGTGAAAATAAGCCTCAATTCGGTTCAAAAACAACACTTTAAAACTTCTGCTGATGGTGATGGACATGAGGCTGGTGAAAAGCATGGTTGAAAGGCCATCTTGTTGCATTTGAATGCTGTATTACAATACAATATTAACTGCAGCGGATGCTGTGAATTGGAAAAATTGTGACAACAAAAAACCTGGGTAACACTTTATGTAAATGTTAACAATCATTTACATTATACCATAATGCTAACAAACACACACATTTTCTGAATTCTGCATTTAACCATTCATTAGGGAATATTATGATGGACAGAAAATATAATATGAAAGTGGACCAGATGATTTTTACTCACGTTTTTAGGGTTCCTGACGTCATGAGCTCTGTGACCAGCACAATGCACTTGCGGCCTTTGGAGGGCGACTCCCATGAGTCGTAAAAACGCACAATGTTTGGGTGCTGCAGACCTTTCAACATGCCGGCCTCTTCCTTGAAGCGCTGGCGCTCTGATCTCGAAAGCTTCCGATCCTGCAAGGACAAGAACAGAAGAAATATAAACCTTTTAGCCATTCATTTTACTTAAATGAGATGGAAATCATACTTAACAGCCGTTTATTGCATGTTAATAATTTCTCAACTGATACACTGAGGGGTAAGTATTACAGATGTGCTTTAAATCAAATGCCATGGCTTTATGTTAAACCACTATGGCTCATGAGGGAACTAGAGGGGGTCTACTAAACCTTAAATAACGTAACCCGACCCCAGATTCCTGCCAGACCTCCGAAAGAGCCTCTATAGACAAAGCATAAACCACAGGAGGGGACTAGACTCGTCCAGATTAAACACAAAGTGGTCCTCTTATCCTGTGCCTAATCCCTGTATGGACCACACACAAAAGACACCTATAAGATAAAGAAACCGCAAAAGCTAGGTGCAAGTTGCAACTGGTTTAACATGACCAGTCATGGAAAACTACACTACATCATCTCCCTTGATTCTCTGACCTACCCAAAAAACCTCTCTCATATTCTATCCAGGGGAGCCTGACCTGCCCAATCCCAACAGTGGCCGGGTTTTTGGATGGAATGCACCTCCCTGTGCATGTGGGTATCCAAGCGTTGATGTCAAAGTTCCTTTCCGGTCAAGCACAGCATATTAGGGCTGGGCAATATGACGATATTATCGTATACTGACGATGTCTCATAAGTATCGCAATGTCGATGTCAACAGTCAGGTAAACAGACGATTATCGACATTATTGGAAAAAAATGGCAAATGATAAACCTAGTATGTTGCAAAAAATATTTTACATAGCCCCATAGTCACCATACAGGTATTTTTGCATGCAAGAATGAAACTATTTAGTAGGAGGGTTGGGAATCGAAAAGCTATTCCAATTTTGGAAATCAGATTAGATGCGTAAGGTCAGGAATCGAATTACTTCCTATAAAATTAAATTCCGATTCTGCTTCTCGATTCCTGTATGCGCATTTATTGTGATTTCAAAAGATTCAACTGCAAGAAGAAAATAGAACTCACTTCTGCATTCGCGCACTGTTTTCTGTGCTGCACACACACAAAGCGCACACACAAAAACCGCCTCTTATATACGCGAACACTGGACTGTGCTCTCTTTCTCGCATTCTTACACATTCGAATGAACAAATACACAGAATTATATCAAAATATCCCTTAAATACAATCGGTTATGTCTTAAGTGAACGCAAAGAGCTGAGAAAAAAAAAACAAGGGTGTATTGGATCCGTGCATTGACAGCAGCCGATGCCGCCAGTCATTAATGTTAACCAAAGAATGAAAGAAAAGAAAATCCCTCACTGATCTTGACTGAATCACTTTTGTAACCTCAGTTTATATTTTATTTGCCTGTTGTTCGGCGCTGACTACTGTAACGGCAACGTGCATCTGTGTATTTTGGAGATGCGTTCCAATATAATTGCAAGCCTGATCATTAATCATTATTATGCTTGCTCCAGCAACCGCCAGTGATGAATTAATACAGTGGCACTTTGTGGAAAAAAGGCCACTTTTCTGTGGCCTACTTTTACACAACCCCAGCGCTTAAATCATGTGTATTACGCGAGTGCTTATTCCATTCTGCGAAAGACGTGCCCTGCATACCTGGCGGGAAAATTGCAACATGTATCTTATAAAAGCTATACGTAAGAGTTCAGTGAGGACACCTATAGATTCTCTGGCTTTCTGCAACCAGTCTATTTGGTGTCATTGATGTGCTGCCATTCTAGAATGCTGACGGTGACATTCTTTCTCCACATTAATGCAGACAGGGTCATTCATTTCCCAAATGCACTAACAACTGTACTAGCAGCAGGCATCTGCAACCCATTAAGTACCACTAATCCCAAACGACAGTATAGAGAGAGGTAGAGAGAGAGAGAGAGAGAGAGAGAGAGAGAGAGAAATTATATCAAAATATCCCATAAATACAATCGGTTATGTCTTAAGTGAGCGTAAAGAGCTGAGAAAAAAAACAAGGGTGTATTGGATCCGTGCATTGACAGCAGCCGATGCCGCCAGTCATTAATGTTAACCAAAGAATGAAAGAAAAGAAAATCCCTCACTGATCTTGACTGAATCAGTTTTGTAACCTCAGTTTATATTTTATTTGCCTGTTGTTCGGCGCTGACTACTGTAACGGCAACGTGCATCTGTGTATTTTGGAGATGCGTTCCAATATAATTTATCCTTATTTAGGGTATAGGCCTATTCTATTTTGATCTGCAGTTTAATAAAAGTTAAACAGAAAAAAAAGATAAATAGTAGCACTGCAAATTACCCTGCTTCTAAATAAATAAAGCAGTAATTTTTTATTTTGTTTAAAAACGGGCCAAAAGAGACTTCCGAACTAGGCTACCAGAAAGGGAAAAAAAAACCTTAACCTTTTTGCTCAGTCATGAGCTTTTGATTTTAGTCATGTATGATAAATATCGAATAGCCTACGTTATAGCTTGACTACAAGTTTAAAAACAACGCTACAATTGTTATAATCAAGGAAATTAAACTTACCATCATGAAATGTGTCTACACACGTGATAATGCCAAAAAGAAAGAGAAACATTGGAAATAGGCATATTTTATTCAAGACATTACTATATGATATCAACATGCATTTATCATTCTTACAATCACCGCCAGAATGTCCAACTTCACCATGATGAACTTAAAATTGGGTTCTATTATTTTTCCTCAACAGTTCTCCTCACAAAACGAAATTCATTTCAAACACAAATTTGAAAAGAACACAGTGGAAATTATTAGCAACACCAACATAACAGCAAAGCTAATGTTTTTTGTTAGTTTAAGCACAAACTAAGAAAAGTAAAACCAAACTTTAAAGTGGCAATAATTAAGACCAAACTGAACCTGGTGTTTATGGTGCATTCCGGCAATGTTGTCTCGGCAAGGGCGGGGCGTGGTGGAGGTGGGGCTTGGGTAGACAATATTATCGGATATCGCGATATTTTTTAAGCCGATTATCGATATTTTTGACATATCGCCCAGCCCTACAGCATATGTGCCCTTCTTATCTATTAACTAACTCGCAGGCAAACAGATCAGCTTTTATCTCTGGTTCTGCTTAGTCAGTCACGTGCGCTTGTGCACAGACAGTTCAGTGAACAAGCGGTTTACTCGAATGTCGCACATGAAAAAATCTCTTGGTCTACATCTCTGGCCTGGCATGGAGATATAAGCGCAGCTGTGGTACCCTCCTATCTGTGAACAAGCCAAAAACCACCGCAGTAACCAGATACAGCAGCGAGCCTTTCTAGAAAACTCACCTCTGCTCTCTTCTGAGAAAATAAGCCAAATGCTAATACAATAATGATAATGGATACGATGCCAACTCCTGAAATTGAATTAACACAGAGCTGCTCTGTTTTTCTCAAAAGGTCTTTTCTACTGCAGTGCTATTTCCACAGAGTAATGGGACAGATAGTGTTTGGCCCGCTGAGCAGCATCAATGCAGATGGGACTCTCACACCTGATAAGTGTTTTTCAGAAGTTGTGTGGGTGCACAATAATATGCAATAAGACGCTCGTGGATGTGGGGGGAACTGGATCAAAGCAGCTTCGACCACATCACAGAGCTGGACTAAATATGTAGTAAGAGCAAACCGAACGTAATTTCAATAAGTGAATCAAATCTGCAGAGCAAGCTGAGAAAGAGGCAGCTGTGAGAGCTGCCTCTGAATAACGGCACACTTGATTAACCCCTGAGATTTGCATTTGTAAAAAGGCAAATAAAATGGATTGCATGACTCATGCTAGCGGGCTGCATAGCATTCTCGTAGGCAATGCCAGTGGGGAAGTTAAGTGAATCAAATCTGCAGAGCAAGCTGAGAAAGAGGCAGCTGTGAGAGCTGCCTCTGAATAACGGCACACTTGATTAACCCCTGAGATTTGCATTTGTAAAAAGGCAAATAAAATGGATTGGCATGACTCATGCTAGCGGGCTGCATAGCATTCTCGTAGGCAATGCCAGTGGGGAATGGAGCAAACGGTAGATCAAAGCTCTGAGAGATAAGAGCTGGCTTCAGTAAACGGTGAACCTCAACAGTTATAGATAAAACTAGAGGCTCCTGAACTCTGGGATGGTTACCATGTGTGCAACGGGTCAGGTGTTGCTGGAGTCCAAACAGAGGTTGCGTGAACCAAACAAATTCTGTCATTTACCATTTACAGATAATTCAAATGCTTTGTCATTTTGACATGAATATAAATAATCTGACAAGACTGTAGTGCGTGTTGTCATTTTCATACAGCGAGAACAGAATAAAAAGTGCTCAGCACTGTTATCACAAACGTTCTTGTGATATCAAAGTCACATTAAAAAAACTAAACAATTAGTTAAATAAGCCTATTTAAATAAAAGGAAAAAATATAAATACAGAGAGAAAATTATATTAATAGAGAGAGAAAATATATTTTATTAAAAAATAAAAATTTTAATTTAAAAAATACCTTTTAAACATTTTAAAATGTTTTAATTAGTCAAATAAGTTTATTTAAATAAAATATTAATAAAAAAATATATTAAAATTTGATGTGTTTAATAAATTAAGAAATTACTATAAATGAGGTAGACGCAACATTATGAATTTTTATATTTTTTTTAAGTTGTATACAACGAAGATTACTGGAGTATATTTTATAAGAAAAAAAAATTACTTCAAAACTCCACATTTAATGTTACTTGCCATGTCTTTGTTATATAAATTTACTAAAAATGAAAACTGTTTCACCAGCTTTTTTTCCAGTTTAAGAGCATGAAAAAAATTACAACTCAATCTGTCAAAGTGACATGGCCAACTTGCTTGAAACTCACTTAAAAAACTGCTTTTTAAAGTGAGAGCAAGACAACAACATTTTAGTGGAATAATTCATATCTATGCAGAATGAACTTGCAGTCCAGCTGGAACTAACTACTTGAGTTTAGAAAAGTTTATCGCATAATCATTAAGGATTTTCTTCACAGAAGGGGTGTG